TTTTAAGAATTATGGCTGAAGTACAAAACAACTGTAAACATAAAATATGAACATAAATAGTTTAAACAATAATTACATGGAAATATTTTAGTCAAAACAAACTATTTCCTGAAACCTGAATGCGTGCCTAGATGAATTGATTGATTTAGTACACGTAGGACATGTAAGACTACACAAAAGTAACAGGGTTTTGGAAATACGATGATTAGCCTTCTATTTAAAATCATCAAATACAACTAAAGTTTTTTTTTCCTTTTTTATAAATATTAAATCACTTGAGAGGTTAATTAGTATCAGATATTGAATGAGACCCCAAATGTTGCTCAAAACGAGGCAGATGTCTTTGAAGAAAAAGAAGCACTTTATTTTAGCTGGTACCCAGTGATGCAGGGAGCAGTGGAGACTGACAACCTCTGCATGCCGAGATAGTAGGAGGCACAGTTTTTATTAGCCAAAACTGCAAAACAGGGTAGAGGTTCACAAAACAGGGTGGGAGTCGAGGGATTTTTACAAGGAACATCTGGAGCACAGTGATCTCAGAAAACAGGGCGTTAGGTGGAGAGGTAGGTGCAGGATGTTTCTATGATAAAAAGGGTGGGGGAGGTACAAGGTTGGCAGTTAACTTATCCTCATGAGCCATCTAAGAAGGAACAGATAAAAGGGGGATGGACGGTGCATACAGAACAGGAACACGGTGTGGAGTGATCTGTGGAAAATTACAAGTTATAACAATATTTCCAAACCAACTTGAAATACTTTGTTTCACACATTCAGCAAATACACAAGACTCTGAAAAATTGGTCCTTGACCAAAAGTCTAGAAAATCTGAGTTGAACAGAGCCTACCAAGTTTCTTAACTGAGACTCCCCAAAAGCAAAGATCTAGTAGGTGAAAATGTCTGCAATTATTTGCATGCTTGTAGAAGTTTTCTGTGGAACACAAGTTGGAAACAAAATTTTTTGTTAGCCCTTCTTTCCCAGTTGGAGTCACTTGTTTATGGAGTTTAATGAGCCAAGGTGGATTTCATTTCTGGTTTAGATTTAGACCCCTAGAAAACAGCTCAGTTTCTGAGTATGCGTGTCTGTTTTGCTTTGCTTTCTGTTCTAAATTGAAAGACTTCACCACCATTAGTTATTATGAGTTAGAGTTCATTTTCCCTGTCTTCTTCTTGAGTCACTGGGATTTGCTTTGGTTTCCTAATAAATGTACAGCTTCATTTTCTAGGCTTTGAGACACTTAGTCACCCCAAAAGGTAGTAAATTCACCGACCAACTCTCACCCTGCCACATTCACCTGCCGCTCAGTGCCCTCTTCCTAGCGCTGATTGTCCTTCATCTGTATAGAAGTCTTTTCCCCTTCTGACCCTTCTTACTCTTTTCACCTTGTCTAAACATATTCAACACTTTGAGAAGTAGAAAATTATATTTTTAAAAAGTGCTCTAAAAGTAAGGTGAATTTATCTGTAATGACCATTGCTCTGAGGACTGAGTGTGGCATAGTAGAAAAATCAGATTATCCTGAGTCCAAATACTGCAAATCACCAGCACGTGAACCTTAGGAAATTTCCTTATCCTTGTTAAAATTCAATATTCTCATCTGTGAAGTAGATATAATAATACCCAAATGACCTTTATGGTGCAGAAGTATAATCTCCCGGAAAATAACGAATGTTCACCAAATGCTGATTACCCTCACACCATTTGCTTGGGGCAATAAAAATCCATGGAACTCAGATAAACTACTTTAGTCTGTTTGCCTCATTGACCAAAAGCAGGAAGTTTAAACCAGATAATGCTAATGGCTCTTGAATTTCCAGCACATTGATTGTGAATTCCAGAAATGTTCCTTTCACCTCCTCCTGTAGGAGCATATCTACAAGCCGTCACACGTGATTAGGAGTTCCTCTGTAGAAAGTAAACATAATGCACAATTTAGAGGTTACTAGGAAGGTCCCTGTTACCTCTGGTTGGTGTCCCATAATGAATTATAGCCCTTCATGGACTTCCTTAAAAACATCTTTTATAAATAGCCACGGGAATAGTCTATTTGTATTTCTACTTATTTCTCCTAGGTTATATATATACTGCCAGGAAGCCCAGGGATGTTCACAGTGTTTTCAAAAAATCACATATTTTACAATGAAATTTAGTCACTAGTTTCTGTGTATTCTGGTCAAAGATATTTAGAGCACCAGCCTTATAAATGGTAAGTGTCTTTTCTATTTTCAGCTAAGGATATTTCACACCACTTTAACACCCTTCTTCAGAGAAGTCACAAACTACCCTTCTCTCTTCTTTATAATATTAGGAAAGGAAGCTTCATGTGTAAATCTTTGAAATGACAGTACATTCCCTAAGGTTGTTGATATTACTTTTATTTTTCTCTAAATCTGTCCAATGGAATGGGAAAATATAACCTTAAGAATTCTTTTATTATTATACTTTTCTCTACACTCATTGCCCAAAATGGTTACTTTTTTGCATAAAGTAATTCTGATTCTCTAATAGCCCATATCATAGCTATAGGCTGTTTAATACTGTCTTAAAAATTACATAGAAAATGAAATCAATCCACTAACTAAGATATATTAATATAACATTATATGTCTAACAAACCCACTCAAGCTAAAATCAAGTAGCTTTACATCAATAAATTCAAGCTATTTACATAATTGTTCCTATATTTTAAAAGCTTGCTTTGTTACTCCCTGTTCATTTTGCTTTCCGCTACATATACCACAGTTAATAGATTTTTAATTAATTTCAATGTTTCTTTTATATAAAGATTGGGAACTACTTATTATTAATGCTGTCTCACATTCAAGCATACTTTCCATATTTAAATGACTTGCACTTTATCATCTCATTAGGATCCTGGGACAACTACTTCTATTTTACAGTCAAAGAAAGAAATGCTATGAGAGGTTCAGTGATGTTTTTAAGATCACCCAGCAAATAAAAAGTAAAACTCATATAAAAGCCCAGCTTGTCTAAGTCCAGTAGTCATGTATTATTATAGTATTCAACTGTCTCTCACTTTATTATCTGAGGGCCATAATAATGAATATTTTATGTTTTATTCAATATTTTTAATTCACTTTGAGTCATTAGGTCTCCTTGCATTGTTCAAATGATTGTTTTTAATTCTGAGAATATATGACCCAAATAGGTTTCAAGAAATGCAGTCCTACATGTAATTAATGAGAAGCCATGTTTTATTTATTTTGCATCTTTTCCATCTCTGTCAAATTTGAATATGTATTCATGGCTGTTATGAGCTCAAAAACCCAAAATGTGCTGTATTTATTATAACTTGTTCTCTTCCTGTAAAACTTGTGCAATTTCAGTTAAGGTGCAACCTTGTAACATACCCACCATGCAACCCCCTGCCTGCCTCCCTGGTTCCTGTAAAACTAAACTAAATAAGCACCTGCCTTGCAAGCAGGTGGTCGTGAGTTCGATCCCCGGTACCGATAAAAATGAAAAACACACACAAAAAAAAAAAAAAAAAAAACTAAACCAAATTACCTTTTATGGGGACCCTGACCCCTCCCCTTGAGGCTTGCTACTTTAGAACTCCCTGCAGGCCCTGGCTTGGTGTACATTTCCCTGGCTGCTTTTCTGGGAGGGCGTCACCACTGAACTCAGCTAACAAAGCACTTTTTAAAATTTTTGGAGTCCATGGTATTTCTGCCCATATCAATGGGCAATCAAAGATGATTATGTGTGTGATAGTATTTGAAGAGGTTCACCCCAAGCCCAAACTGTCTTCTCTGGTGCCTACTGTTTCTTTATTTGACATAAAATTTTGAGTTATGAAGCTGTGCTAAAAAATGGATCATGTATCTAATTAATATCAAGTAATATTTTAGGGAAGGTAAACAGATGGCAAGACTGCAAGTCAAACAAAAATAGTGGTCCAGATCTGTCTCTTTGTTTTTCAATGTTTGTGAGTAATGGGTAGAGGTGCAGAGTGCTTTTAGAGATAAGAAGAGGTATTATAGACTCTAACTTAGGCAGACATAGTAGAGATGGTGGGATAATATTGGGCCTTTGAGAGAGTCAATGCAAAAATGAAAAAATGTTTCAAGTGTGGTCAGAAGTGCATCTGTTGGGGACCAAGCCTCCAAATAAAGACAGAATGACTAGGCCTAAGATAAGAGGTGACAAGTCTAGACAGACATCAGACACCTTGGTGGGTGACCACGACACTCTGACTTACCCCTTCCTAAAAATGTTCCCCATTGGGTTAATATTATCTAAGTGACTATGCTTATAATCTTATTGGTTGATCATAGCTGTAACCCATGTTGGACCCACGTGGTTGTGCTCTACCCCTGAAAAGTGTGGCCCTTGGGCAGCCCACTTGTCAGGTCCCCTCCTGTCTGTCTCTGGTAGGAGCTGTGTTTCCCTCAAAAAATAGTTCTTATTCTAAACCTCTGTTGTTCTTTAGAATGCATTCTTTAATTCCAGAAAACAGGAACTCAGTGTATTGCACAGCTAGTAGGTTGGGAGTTAAAATATTTTCCCTATGTGTTTTGGAGGCTCTGTATGGTTTCTACATCAGAATGACAAAAAACAGATTTGAGGTGTTATTGAAATGGAATCCTCAGCAAAAAAGGCTCTATTTCATCACTGGTTGGAGTCTAGGGGCTTTAAATTGAGCTTATTTTGCAGCGTTGATGCCGTTAGGGGGCCGTGAGAAATCCTGAGGCCGCTTGCCCCCTAACCCTCCACACTGCGGAGTGCACTAATGCAATATCCTTTGCACTCCGCCTGACCCTTGTCTTGTGTGAAAAGCTTGAGTTCTCAGATGGCCCAGCTGGGGAATTCAGTGTCAGGGAAAACCTCTGCAACAGGTCAATGTGTCTTTGATAACACCAAATGCCCGGAGCAGTCTACTTTTCCCATGCTTTGACACATAACATTTTTGCATAGGCTCTTCCAATGGCCTAACCACACAGCAAAATTTCAACTGTGTTTTTCTTGTTTTTAACTCGGTCCAATTTGAAACTAGCCCACATGCCAGAGTAGCAGGCTGTGAGGCCAGCGTCAGTGTTGTTTCCTCCTTTATGGCCACCAAGACGAACATTCAGATCTGAGAGGAAAGGGAACTGGAGGGTCTCAGCTATATTTTGAATGACTATTGTACATGCAGTAGTACAATATAACCACTATGCGACACATGATGAAATTTTTAGCATGAAATTTGCCACTAGGTTTCCATGTCTCTTCGTGATTTGTTTTGGGGCCCTGATATCCTTTAAGCCATAAATAAAATTTCAACTTTCATCTGCATTTCAAACTGAATCAGAAATATAAAAATTAAACATTTTCATTTTATTCTGAGTGTCAGTTGCCTCTTGTGTGCTCTAAAAGCAGCAAGACTTAGTCCTCCTGCCTCTCCTTCAGAATGATTTCTTGGAAAAGCTATAAGAAAAGAATAACTTATTAACACATCCACAGCACATATTATTTATAGCTCTTCCTACCTATCCAGCATTGAAACAGAGTTCCCATAAAGTCTGAAAGTCAGGACAAAGAATTTTCTGACTGCATCAACTATAATCACACAAGTAAAACAAAATACAATCACCCACTTCTAACATGTAGAGAAAGCAACCTCTTAATTTCCACTAGAATTTGCAGAGTGTGATTACTGAAAAACAAAGACTCTGTAGGAGCACATGTATGTTTATTTAACATGTCTCGTCCATGAAAAAAATGGACCAAACTAAACATACAGTAAGATGTTTTATTAAAACCTCATTTATACATAAGAAAGTGCCTCTTGTCCAGTCTCAAACTTGCTCCCAACACTGTATATTTGTGTGTTGTGTGGTTGTGCTTGTGTATGCAGACAAGGGTATGTGTCACATTTTTCTTTGGAATTTAAATTTTTAAAAAAGTATTCCGAGCCTGCTGGTAGCCAAATGAATTAACCTGTTTAAACTATTTTTTACAAGAACTATATCTCACCCCAGCATCCTGAAACTATTGTGAAAACACAGACCGAGAAAATTAAATGAATCCCCAGTAGACTGCAAAGACTGCTGTTAATAATGTGCACCTTAACTTAAGGCTTCCACTGTTGCATTTTTGTCAAATAAAAGAGACAGACAGTGAGGCGGGGGCACAAGGACAGGCTCAAAACAGAGCACACTTTCAGCTTCAACAGGCACAAATTACAGATGGGAAATAGATTGTTAACAAAATAAATTATTTCCTGGCCTCCTGTAATTTCTCACGCTCTGTGTGGCACTGGTTTCACTGCTGACACTGTCAACATAGTCCTATAAACATCTGTAGTCACTTACTGTGACCTAGTGCAGAAGGCAGCCCTCTTCTCCATTTAACTGAACACCAAATTCTGCATAATGCAAAACACCTTCTGGTCCCCCAAGTGCCCAATGGAATTAGAAAAGCAGAATTGATCAAATTCAGTGTTTATTTAGCAAGGTGGTTATACAAAGAGCAAGCTTTATGAAGTCTCTTCTTATTTTCAAACTTGTGTCTCAATTTACACCAAAACAAATTCTAAACTGCTACTCTAGGAAAACATTTGGCAAATGATCTTCCTCCCTGAACCCCACTGAGGGCACACAAACAGCCTTATTCTTCTCCAGGTCCCCTTCTTTATTCCGAAATGAAACAGTCTAGTCTACTTGGTTTTGTTGTTTTTATTCTAAATAGCAACAAGGATAGCAAGGCCATGGGAAAGTGAGGGGTGATACATAAACACTGTGGAGTAGTCTGAAAGCAAAAACATACTCTATTTTCAAAATCTGTGCACTTTGAACTCTGCCTATTTATGAGTAGACCATTCTGAATGTTATATTCTGGAACTTAGCGAAGAGCAACAACCGATCAAGCTTGGAAGATAATGTCTGCAGACTGAAACTGGAAAATGGCCTCTGTGATCTCTTTTGGGTAGAGAGGAGGCTGCATTTTGCCCAATCCCTAAAGAAGAAGACAACAAAAATCAAGGGCAAAAAACAACACAGCATCGGGGCCAGAATTGAAGGTCAGGTAATGTACCTGATCATGAGAAGCCCTTAGACTAAAAGGGTAGCCAACAGTGTACTCTGCTGTAACTAAACTGTAAAGTTTGAGAAGTCTTTTTTTATTTTCCTGGTACTGAGGATTTAACCCTAGGGATTCCCAAAGGAGAATTTAATTGATTCCCTTTGTTATTAAGATGAGGAAAGTAAAAATGTTAAGTAACTTCCCCAGATTTTAAAATGAGATGTGAAAAAATTCAGAGAAGAATCTAGATCTCTGTTGTGAGATCAGTGTCCAGTTGGGACTTGTGCTCTTTACTGGGCTATGTCCACACACAGTCACGAGACAGCTCAGCCAGTGAGCTTCAACTGAGACTTCTAAAGGATGGTGCAAGTGGAAGGAGGAGAATTCCTGGTATAGAACCAACACTATTTGCATGAGATAGTCACTCAAATGCATGTTTATAAAGATGATGATATAGGGGCTGGGGATTTAGCTCAGCGGCATATGCGCCTGCCTTGCAAATAGGCAGTCATGAGTTCGATCCCCGGTACTGATAAAATGGAAAAAGACAAAAAATAAATAAATAAATAAAGATGATTATATCAGCAGTAAGGGTTATTTATTGGCTTTAAGATGAAAAAGACCCAAAAGCAAGCAAATGGTAGTGTGCCCAAAAATAAAATCGATAGATACTGACCTTGATAACTGATGATTCTCTCAACTGCCCAAGCTTTCTTCTTTCATGCCTCGTTGATTAGGAAGACTTCCTAAAGCTCTGACATGTGAGGAAATAGTATAGAAACGCTGCTCATGCGGGTAACCAACACGAGGTAACCTGCAAGGAGGAATCTGAGAGTAACTAGATACTCTGCTTCCATCATCTCTTAGACAAAAACGTGTTGCCTTGGACTCCTCTCTGCTGGTGGGTGACGGGACACACTTTACCCTCCTTATTAGTGTACTTGGTCACATCTGAGAGGCGTGGTGAAACAGTGATGTTCCTCTTGCCATACACTACATCAAGCAGCCACATGTAGACAGACTGTCACCTCCTGTGCAGAAGCTGTCATGGGATGGGGAAAGCTATCTGAATGTCTGACAGCCCAATAACCTGTTTGAAGGGGAAAAGCATAGAGGTCGACTTCTTTGCCTAGAGTTCAAATATTTTTCTGTTAGAATAACAATTCTGACTGAACTGTCAGTGTTCTGAATAAATTTTCTTTAGTTCAAGTTTTTCAATAAGTAGTTGTTTTTTCCGGGGCTAAAATAGAGATCTAGTTTTCTGAGAAGTTTTTTCTTCTGTCAGCAACCTTTCTGTTTCAACTAGGGTTTGTAGATGATTTGAATATCAAGATCAATGGTATTTTTGAAGATGGAGCACATAATGCAGGAAACAAAAGCCTGCCTGGTAACCATATCTCCAGATGGCATTTAGATTTGCAAAAGCATGTCTAGGAATCAGAACTCAGATCAGAAACACTGTGCTTTAGCCGTACAAAGGTAGATACTTTATACAAAAAGATGTAAGGAAAATGAGAACAATAGAATAAAGTTATACATTTTTATATCTGGACTAGATTCTGGTTTTTTTTTCCAACGAAAAGTTATGTTAGCACCTAGAGAAATTGAAAGAAAAAACGTAGGAAACTTGTAAGAACTCCATGCTATGTAATTGGAAAAGGAATACAGAAAGTGAGGAAAATAGACTTCATCTTATTTATTCTCCTGATGAATAGCAATTTGCATCTAGGAGAGGGAGTGGGTATTGTTTACATAAGTCAGCACTGGATTGTTTGATAATTTAGGGTTCACGGTCAATAAAAATCAATCTCATTTCAGCCAATACTATTATAAGGCTAGCGAACAGTATTTTTTCAAGTAAGATATCTTAAATGGTTTTTCAGAATCTAGTATCTTGAATAAAAGGCAAGTAGGTTGAAGATTATTTGGTTTGCTTTAGGCTAAGTTTAATGCTATAATTGTTTTGTGGCATTTCGATGTGGTTTAAAATCTTGTAACAAGTTTTGGAAGTGAGTTCCGAGAATAAACTTTAAACAAGTTGAGATCCTTGACAGCCTTGGACAGTGGACTTGTGCAAGGCAAACAGAAGCCAAAGGCAGGACCGACCGGAAGCAATGGCCTACACAAAGGCCACACAGCAGGCACACTTTTTACCGGATTCCCCAGTAGTACCATGGTGTTTCTGAGCTTCTTTTCCATCTTGTGCAGTGTGCTGTCAACCTTAAAGAAGACCTGCCCAACCCAGCTGGAGAAAAGAGAGGTAAGAGGAGCCCTGCTGTAGGGAGGGAAAGGAGTTCCCGCCCAGGCCTGCAGCCTGCCTCCAGCACACTGGCGTTGATGTGATTCCTTGCTATCCTATGGGCCTTAAGAGGATAAAAAAGGGTTGATTTCCACCCTTGGATAGATATCTTTCTGTTATGTTTTCTATGTGATTATTTTAAAAATCATTTTAAATCCCATTTCCAAGCTGAATTGACTTTTAGAAGTAATAAACTTCCTAGCTACAATTAGCAGGCCCAAGAGGAAAATCAGTGTTCCACAGAGGCAATGTAGCACTAACAAGACCCATATCGCTACACAGTTGCCAAATTTAGCAAATAAAAGTACAGAGTGTCATTGTTACACAGTAAACAGCATTTTTAAGTATAAATTTACTCTGGGAAAATTTGACACAGATTTAACATTAAAAATTATTCATTCTTTATAAGAAATTCAAATTTAACTAGCTTCTTTGTATTTCTCAGGCAGTCCTTGTTCAGGGCTTCAGAAAGTGTAAAACAGGAACACACTCTTTACCCCACATAGACTTCACATGTAACATTTGAAAGAGCTGTCTCCCACTATATTCATCAACCTAATGTCAAACACAACATAATCCAAAGTGTTAGAAGCACTAGAGAAAAGTAGAAAATTAGTGACACATTTCCCATTTCTAAACAGTTTTTTTCTATGTAACTAGAAATGTGACTCTCATGGACATAGGGGTTGGCGGGAACGTTGACCTCACCCCCTCCTCCCTTTCTGGACTTTGGGGTCAGCAGACCATCAGCCCCACCCCCTCCTTGCTCCACAGACCTAGGAGTTGGCAGATCATTGG